CCGCCTAGCGGCGCCGGCACACCGGGTTCTAGTCCCAGTTGGGGCGCCGGATTCTGTCCCGGTTGCCCCTCTTCCAGGCCAGCCCTCTGCTATGGCCAGGGAGTGCAGTGGAGGATGGCCCAGGTGCTTGGGCCCTGCACCCCATGGGAGACCAGGAAAAAAGCACCTGGCTCCTGGCTCCTGCCATCGGATCAGCGTGGTGTGCCGGCCGCTGCGTGCTGGCCGCGGCAGCCATTGGAGGGTGAACCAACGGCAAAAGGAAGACCTTTCTGTCTCTCTCTCTCTCTCACTGTCCACTCTGCCTGTCAAAAAAAAAAAAAGAAAAAAAAAGAAAAAAAAAGAAAAATGTCTATTGAAGTCCTTGGCCCATCTCTTAAGTGGGTTGTTTGTTTTGTTGTTGTGGAGTTTCTTGATCTCTTTGTAGATTCTGGTTATTAACCCTTTATCTGTTGTATAGTTTGCAAATATTTTTTCCCATTCTGTCGGTTGTCTCTTCACTCTCCTGACTGTTTCTTTTGCAGTACAGAAACTTCTCAGTTTGATGCAATCCCAACTGTTAATTTTGGCTTTGACTGCCTGCGCCTCCAGGGTCTTTTCTAGGAAGTCTTTGCCGGTATCTATATCTTGCAGGGTTCTCCAATGTTCTCCTAAAAAATTTGATGGGGTGGGGGCATAGATTTAAGGGTCTTTAAATCCATGTTGAGGGGCCATTTTTGGTGTAAGGAGGAAAGGGAGAGGGTCTTGGTTTTCATGGCTTCTTGCACGGGAATCCAGTTTTCCCAGCACCATTTATTGAATAGACTGTCCTTGCTCCAGGAATTGGTTTTAGATCCTTGATCAAATATGAGTTGGCTGTAGATGTTTGGATTGATATCTGGTGTTTCTATTCTGTTCCATTGGTCTATCCATCTGTTTCTGTACCAGTACCATGCTGTTTTGATTATAACTGCCTGTAGTATGTCTTGAAATCTGGTATTGTGATGCCTCCGGCTTTGTTTTTGTTGTACAAAATTGCTTTAGCTATTCGAGGTCTCCCATGTCTCCATATGAATTTCAGCATCATTTTTTTCTACTTCTGAGAAGAATGTCTTTGGTATCTTGATTGGTATCAAATTGAACCTCTAAATTGCTTTTGCAAGAATGGACATTTTGATGATGTTGATTCTTCCAATCCATGAGTATGGAAAAATTTTCCATTTTTGGTATCCTCTTCTATTTCTTTCTTTAAGATTTTGTAATTCTCATCATAGAGATCTTTAACGTCCTTGGTTAAATTTATTCCAAGGTATTTGATTGTTTTTGTAGCTATTGTGAATGGGATTGATCTTAGCAGTTCTTTCTCAGCTGTGGAATTGCCTGTGTATACAAAGGCTGTTGATTTTTTTTTTGACAGGCAGAGTGGACAGTGAGAGAGAGAGACAGAGAGAAAGGTCTTCCTTTTTGCTGTTGGTTCATCCTCCAATGGCTGCCGCGGCCGGTGTGCTGCGGCCGGTGCATTGCACTGATCCAAAGGCAGGAGCCAGGTGCTTCTCCTGGTCTCCCATGTTGGTGCAGGGCCCAAGGACCTGGGCCATCCTCCACTGCACTCCCTGGCCACAGCAGAGAGCTGGCCTGGAAGAGGGGCAACCGGGACAGAATCCGGCGCCCCGACTGGGACTAGAACCCTGGTGTGCTGGTGCCGCAAGACGGAGGATTAGCCTATTGAGCCTTGGTGCCAGCCGGCTGTGGATTTTTGTGTATTGCTTTTATATCCTGATACATTGCCAAACTCTTCTATGAGTTCCAATAGTCTCTTAGTAGAGTTCTTTGGATCCTCTAAATAAAGAATCATATCATCTGCAAAGAGGGATAGTTTGACTTCTTCCTTCCCAATTTGTATCCCTTTAATTTCTTTTTCCTGCCTGATGGCTCTGGCTAACACTTACAGAACTATGTGGTGAGAGTGGTCATCCCTGTCTGGTACCAGATCTCAGTGGAAATGCTTCCAACTTTTCCCCATTCAATAGGATGCTGGGCCATGGGTTTTTCATAAATTGCTTTGATTATATTGAGGAATGTTCGTTCTATACACAATCTGCTCAGAGTTTTCATCATGAAAGGGTGTTGAATTTTATCGAATGCTTTCTCTGCATCTATTGAGATAATCATATGGTTTTTCTTCTGCAGTCTGTTAATGTGGTGTATCACATTGATTGATTTGCATACATTGAACTATCCCTGCATTCCAGGGATAAATCCCACTTAGTCTGGGTGGATGATTTTTCTGATGTGTTGTTGTATTCTATTGGTGAGAATTTTATTGAGGATTTTTGCATCTATGTTCATCAGGAATATTGGTCTGCAATTTTCTTTCAATGCTGCATCTTTCTCTGGCTTAGGGATTAAGGTGATGCTGGCTTCATAGAAAGAATTTGGGAGGATTCCATCTTTTTCGATTGTTCTGAATAGTTTGAGAAGAATTGGAATTAGTTCTTTAAATGTCTGGTAGAATTCAGCATTGAATCCATCTAGTCCTGGACTTTTCTTTGTTGGGAGGGCCTTTATTATTGTTTCAATTTCTTTCTCAGTTATGGGTCTATTTAGGTTTTCTGTGTCTTCATGGATAAATTTAGGTAGATTGCATGTGTCCAGGAATCTATCCACTTCTGATAGATTTCCCTGTTTGCTGGCATACAAGTCCTTGTAGTAATTTCTGATGATTCTTTTTATTTCTGTGGTATCTGTTGTTACGTTTCCTTTTTCATCTCTGATTTTATTGATTTGGGTCTTTTCTCTTCTTTTTTTAGTTAGTTGGGCCGATGGGGTGTCAATTTTGTTTATTTTTTCAAAAAACCAGCTCCTTGTTTGACTGATTTTTTGTAATTTTGTTTTTTGGATTCAATCCTGTTGATTTCTTCTCTGATTTTAATTATTTCTCTTCTCCTACTAGATTTGGGTCTGGTTTGCTGCAGTTTTTCTAGATCCTTGAGATGCATTGAAAGCTCATTTATTTGGTACCTTTCCAATTTCTTGATGTAGGCACCTATTGATATAAACTTTCCTCTCAACACTGCTTTTGCCATATCCCATTAGTTTTGATATGTTGTGTTGTTATCCTCATTTACTTCCAGAAAGTTTTTGATTTCTCTTTTCTTTTGATTTCTTCTATGACCCAGTGTTCATTCAGGAGCATGTTGTTCAGTTTCCATGTGTTTGCATATGCTCTAGGGATTCCTGAGTTGCTAATTTCCACCTTCATTCCACTGTGGTCTGAGAAGCTGCATGGTATGATTCTATGAATTCTTTATTTCTAATATTTCATACTGATTTCTCTTTAAAATCTCAATTTCATGGCAAAATTTTCATTCATGTCATTATGGATTTCTTTAATTCACAAATTTGCTTCTCATTGCTCCTGAGCAATCCTGTGATTAATCTTTTGAATTCCATTTCTGGCATTTCATCAATCTCTTCATCTTTGCATTCTCATATTGAAGTGTTGTGTTACTTTGCAGGGGGGTGTTATGATGTTTTCCTTATTCTTGTTTCTTGAATTTCTGCATTTGTTGTCAGGCATTTATGGAGGTATTTGTAGGTTTTTTTCCTCTGATGGCTTTTGTCTCTGGGCTGTTCCTCTGTGGATTAGTGGAATGGGTGTTCTTTCAGTGAATACCCAGAGGCATGTGCTGGATGTGGCCAGGAAGCTCTGGTCAATGCTCCAGGGTGGGGTGGGGTAAGTATCCAGCATGATACTCAAGTTGGGTATAGTAGATCTCTTTTTTTTTTTATCAGAAGGAAGGTTTGATCAGCTCTGGTGGAATAATCACACTGTTACCTCTTCTCTTCTAAGGTGATTAATGCCTAGTGTTATCCCACAGTGGGTGCAGTAGTCATCTGTGCTGCCCTAAGAACCTCACAAAGTATCTGTGCAGTCCTCAGTGGGAGCATGGATCCTGTTTCAGTGATGAACCCCCCAGGCAATCAGGGAGCTCTGAGAGTGTAAAACAGCTCACAGTGATTGCCCAGGGACCTGGCTACTCCCTGTGCCATCTTGTATAGTCACAATATTCCCACTGTCTCGGCACACAAGGTTACCATAGTCATAGGGTACTGAGGATCCTCTCTGTCCTGCTAGTCTGACTCGTCTACAGAAAGGCAGAAGCAAACTGCCTGTGGGTGCTCCACCTGGGCAGTTCGAGCCCCTAGCCTGTGATGTGTTGGGAGGCTGGGGTACCTCACAGTTCTAAGTGGGTGTCTAGCCCCCTGTCAGTCCTCCCAGCCAGACTCCAGCATCTCATCTCAGCTGGTTGCTGGGCAGCTGGACATGAGCTGGCCCAGCTGTTACATATGTCCAAAATGGTGCCTACCCTCTTTCAGCCAGTTGCTGACTGCTGTCGTCAGGGGGATGGGAAGAGCAAAACGTGCCTCTTTTTCCCTCTCAATTGGCAGTTATCCTGTCCCCCACAGGGCTCCAGCCTAGACTCACACCAGCTCTTCCACAGCTATATCACCAGTGGCACAGGCAGCGTCAGTCTGGTGTCATGTCACTTTCCAAAGCTGGTGCTCAGTCTCTGAGCTGTGGGGGTCCTGTGTTGTATCCATGCTTGTGCTACACGTCCACACTCTCCAGGTAGATCATAGCATTCCTCTTCCTTCTGTGGAATTTCTACTGAAGTTTTCTCCCTAACTCTTCCCTGAGATTGCACTCTCTCCACCTTTTTTTTTTTTCTTTCAACTGTCTTCCCCTAGCCTAGAGCAGTAAGCTCCCTTTCTATTCCACCGTCTTGGAATTCCCTCTTCTTAGTAGTTAGCAAAAAGCATAGCTGTATTGTCTTTATATTTCCTTTATTTAAAAAGAAACTAACCAAAGTCATAGAGAAAGAAACTTTTCTACATTTTTTTAACTTATCACAAGGAGGATACAAAACTCCAGTATAGAAGAAAATGATAAAATTAGATTTTATGAACTTATTAATACAAATAAATGTTAGAACAGATTTGGTGTTCAAGCAAAAGATTGATATGACACACCTAAAGAAACTTTATTCCTACAACACAGGAGTAGCTCAACACTAGGAGGTCAAATCACACGATTGCACATATTAACAGAAAAATTGGGGAAAAGCCCACAGTCATCTGAAGAGATTAGAAATTCAACATTATTTCCTTATTAATAAAAGACAAATGGAAGTATACATTTTAACATGATATAAGTGGATGAAACATGTATTAGAAATTTAAGTAGTTACTATAAAAACTGCTTTTTACAAAGTAGTAAGAAAAGAGTACACTCAATTAAAAAATGAGACAAATCACAAATTTGTCCTGAAAACATTGAAAGAATGTTCAGTCTTACACTTTTTAAGGAAAAATAAGCTACAAAATAAAAATGTTAAGCTATTTCATTGGCAATGAGTAAAATACTAAAATCCTCAACACTGGTGAGATTTAAAGAAATGAACTACCATATCTGGCCAGAAATTGCACATGAGGATAAAGTAATTCAGGAAGGTGGTTTTTCAATATATTAAAAAGTGCATATAGTCTTTGATCCAGAAATATAATTTATAGAAGTTATATCTAAAGAAACCACTTAAGATAGATGTTTATAATGTGTAGCAGCAGGATGATACATATTTTATTACACAAAATAGAAATACACAAATGTCCTACAGTAAAATAATAGTTATATAAATGATGATAAAATCATATAGTAGAATGATATTCAACTATCAAAAGTGATGTTGCATATGAACAGTTGATATGAAAAATGTTTAATATACATTTATATATATAAATAATATATATTTATATATGATAAAAGCAAGACTGGAAACATTGTAAGTATATGATCTATTTGTCTACCTCCCTATCTGAAAAAGGCTAGGAGAATATCATATTAATGTTAATTATCATTAACTGGCATTTTCTTCAAAAAATAAATATTGCTTTAGAAAGAAAAATCAAATGGTTTTTAAAGGGAAAATGTGTACATAGTTTCTTTTTCATGTACAGTATGATAAAAGTTTAATATGATTTTTATAAACTATCGTAATAAGAACATGAACACAATGGAAAATGTGTTGCAGACAATTACTGATATAAAAAATGTAAGTGACCTAACATCAAGAATATTCATCACCATTAATAATATAAAAAATAAAACTGAACAAAACTAAACTGAGATTCTCTTTTTCTATGACCAAATGGGCAAAGGGTATCTAAAAAGCAAAGAATTAATTATCTATTATAATTAGTGCTTCCAGCTACTATAGCTCCTCCATAAGGCAGAGATGGAAACTATGTTTCTAGAGATTGTGACAATACATAACAGAAGGCTTGACATTGTGGATACCCTTTGACCCTGAAAGTTGCTTTCTCAGGATTTCCATAAACAGTGCATAATAGGTATGTGCAAACAGGACTATCGTTTCAGTGTTGTGTGAGTGACATTAGAAAAAAATCCCTCCATGTTCAAAAATAAAAGGTTGACTACAATTTTAGTATATTTATAAATTGGATACTACTCAGAAGTTAAATTGGATTTTTAGAATACTTAATGACATGGGTCAGGTCCATAATATGCTATACAGGGAAAAGAAAATTCTTTTTCTGCTCCATGACAATACTTGATGCACTTTTTTGGTTTCAGTGCTAAATACCCTGGGACTCTGGTTATGTTTGACTTTAACCACTTAGGACGACTTGCTGCTTTCTTAGCAATATCTACCCCAGCAGGTGATAACAGTGGTACTAGAAGGGTCTCTTTCTCATCTCCCTTTTTGAATTCATACAATGATTTTCCACTGGGGAAAAATATTTTAAAAAGAAAGCAAAACCGGCAAATAATATGTCCATGTTCCTGGGGTGTGGAAAGTTAGGATGAGCACTAAGGAAATGAGTTGGGGATCTTAGCTTGAAAATGCAGTTATAACTCAAGAGACAATAAACATGCCACCTATTGGACATTTGGTTAAACTGACACTGCTAAAACATACTCTTTTTTTCCTATTCATTAAAAAGACTTAAGAACATGGTAATGTAACTGGTATAGTGTGCTCTTTGAAACTATATGTAAATTACAAATCATCTCCACTTAGTCATTGAGGTTCAGTGGTTTCCTCTATAACATACCGAAACATGACAGCATGCTGGTTAAGAACAAGGCCTTTTCCTGCTAATAATTGAGGGTTTACTGCTCTGTGCGCTTGAGGTCATTACAGAGTTTCTCTGTGTCTGTTCCCTCATCTAAAAAATGGGCATAAAGATAGTTTACAGGATATTGTGAGGTTTAAGTTAATATTTTTAAGGCCTCAAATATACATGGCAAGCTTTCAATAGATGCTAGCTGATATTATTCTTTTTAAGATTTATTTATTTATTTGAAAGAGTTACGCAGAGAAAGAGAAACAGAAAGAGAGAGAGAGAGAAAGAGAGAGAGAGAGGTCTTCCATCCAGTGGTTCACTCCCCAGTTGGCCACAACAACTAGAGCTGTGCTGATCCTAAGCCAGGAGCTTCTTCTGGGTCTCCCACGCGGGTGCAGAGGCCCAAGGACTTGGACCATCTTCTACTGCTTTCCCAGGCCATAGCAGAGAGCTGGGTCAGAAGTGGAGCAGCCGAGACATGAACCGGCGCCCACATGGGATGCAGGCACTGCAGGTGGTGGCTTTACCCACTATGCCTCAGCGCTGGCCCTGCTGGTACTATAATTTTTGTAATTCCTATATGGGAATGGACAGCAGCTCTACTTATTTTGGTTCTCAGTTGCTTTACATATTTAATGAAATTGAATGGCTTTCATGATATTGTTCACTCTGTCATTATATTTACATGTATTTCTCTGATTCTTTTGTTCTGGAATCTTCAGTACCACAGTGTTAAAAACACACACAGAGATTCCTTGAGTCTGCAGCTATGAGGAAGAGACAGGAACGTAAGGGCAATTACTGCCTGATTTCTGGGTCTTTCTTTGACAACAACACTTTATCAGCTGGGGAAAGCTGAAGACAACTTTGAGTTTTGCAGAGTGTATATGATACACATATGTGAAGCATTTAAAATACACCGAGATATCTACAGTCAAGTTCGAGACTTGCTGGCGACCCTCCTCAGCTTTTCTGCCTGGTGGCCACTTAACCTTCTGTTTGGGATTCGTGCTGCAGCCTTGTTCGTCTCTGGCTTTCGGGGTGACAGCATCCGTTTAGAAGTTGGAATCATGACTTGAAAGCACCACTCTAGGTCTCACTCCTGTATTCCGTCCTTGTTCATGAATTGGAACCGTGAGCAAGTTCCTTGGTAGCATCCTCGCGGTGCATGACATCTGCTCAGGCCTTGAGGACAAGGTCCCTGGGCAAGGACAGAGCTGTGGAGATGACGGGAAGGACTTGTGAGCAGGAGGGTTCTAGGAAATGAAACTGATGGAATACCGGGGTTGAAGGAGAGGGCAAAGTCTAGGATAATTTCCACATTTGAGTCTTGGCTGCCTAGACACTGTGGATAAGGACTAGCAGGTTTTGCAGCAAAGATGCCAGGTTGTTGCAATAGGCAGGTCAGGGGGTTTCCAGGAGAGTGTTCCAGCAGGCAGCTGGAACTCTGCTTTCAAGAATGCAGACCATTTCTCCTTTGCTCAGAGTCCTAATTAGTTGGGACTTAAGTAAACCCGCTGTAGAGTATTCTCCTGTCGTGTCTTCCTGTTTGTCAGGAGAATTTGGGTTCCTGCTCTATCAGGAATAAACTATCATTTTTGTTGGACTTCAAAAAATATATATTATGTGAGGCTCCCCTGAGAAATCCTAAGCACCAGGAATACGAGTTCCAGAGATTAAAAAAATAAGATACAATCAGATGGGTTAATACATCATGTGGAAAGTTGCTAAGCAGCACTATATTAATTCTATGGCAAATGATATTAGCTTCTAAAAGGAAAAAATGCCCAAATGCACAAAAACATCAATTTTGAAATAACTCAGAGACAGAAGAGCATCTTGTAAAGTCCCATACTATAGGCCATGATTTAAGAGATTTGGCAGTCTGCGGTAGCAACATTAATGGATGGCAAATTTGAAGCATGTGGCATCAAAATTACATGTAAAAGAAATGAAAATATTTTGCCAAAGGGGTGTATGTGCGTGTGTGTGTGTGTATGTGTGTGTATGTATCTGCAATGTTATTTCAGAGTTATTTCTGCTAAAGTGTTTATTGTATGTGTGAAATAAATGAAAAAAAAATGGGTAAACAATGAAAAAAGGAAGACCTAAAAAGAGGAATAAATAAAGATTAAATCAAAGGAAAGGCACCAATAAAACTTCCAAAGGAAAAGGAATTGATAAGACTCTAAAGCATTTTTCCTTTTTTTACCCCATAAAACCATAGAAATAAAATAATCAGATTAAATTCATCACAAGTGCATACAGGAAAAACAAAACTTTCAACGGAAAGTCAGAAAAGGAAACTAAAAATTGCAGTAAGAAGACGGCCATGCTGATCCATCATTTTATTCCTTGGAAACTGTCTGTCAACTAAGTATAACCACAACTCTGTAGAATACACATAAGTATAAAATTATGCATTCAATGCAAGAAAATAAAAAGTAACAAACAAAAAACCCCAGGATATCCACCTTTGGGTGGTGAGTAAATGAAGATTTTTCTCCTTCTCTTTAGTTTTCTGTACTTGATTTAAATGCCATACATGAAGATACACCACTTTTACAATGGAAAAGAATCAACTTTATTAAAAACGAGGCTCTGAACCCTATTTTATCTTCAAATTGAGTACATCGGAGTTTCACGCTGCTGCCAGCTACTTCAGGAAGGGAACCGGATGACGCTCTTTCCCGTCCCTCGTGCGTTACAAACCTTTCCACGAGGAAGAAGCGTATCGCCTGTTACCTGACACACTTCCTATCCCTGTGTTTCCAATCACGCATTTCAATGGGCCTGGCTTCCACACCGGTCTGCACCGCTGTTTGTCTTCACTGGGCAACAAACATCAAGCTACTCATGTCCACTGTTTGTCCTTCCTTCTCTGGGTCTTGTTGGGCCTCAGTGGGGGACCCCTGTGGCTTACCGCGTCTAAGAGGAGACGGCAGCGTTTTAGGTCAGCACGCTGGGCCTCAGACCCTCACAGCCCCCTCTGCCCTCTCACACATGCGCTCCAGAATTCGGTGGATGCTGGTGAAACTGGGCCTGTCCGCAGGTAGCCTGCTCCAACACAGACGCATCAGGTTGTACAGCTCCAAGGGGCAGTTCTCAGGGCAAGAGAGGATGTTGCCATCCCGCACGTAGTAGATGACCTCCTCGTGGGCCATCCCATAGTAGGGCTGCAGGCCATAGGAGAAAATCTCCCATAGGACCACACCATAGGCCCACACGTCGGACTCGGTGGTGTAGCGGTTATAGAAGATGGACTCTGGGGGCATCCAACGGATCGGGATGGCATCATTTTCATTAGCTTTGTAGTAGTCCGCCGAGTAGATGTTCCTGGAGAGGCCAAAGTCTGCAATTTTCACCACCATGTTCTCACCCACCAGGCAGTTCCTGGTGGCCAAGTCCCGGTGGACGAACTTGCGTTCTGAGAGGTAAGCCATGCCGGCTGCCACCTGCCTGGCGATGCAGAGCTGTTCGGCGCACGAGAGGGGTGGCGGCCCAGGGCTGGAGACCTGAGCCCTCGCGGACAAGTCGCTGTGACTCAGGCTGCACACGGTGTGAGGCGACATGCTCCGCAGGAACTCATTGAGGTCGCCGTAGGCCATGTATTCAAAGAGCAGGCACATAGGCTTCCCCACGGCGCACACACCTGCAGACGGAAAGAGCACCCTGTTAGCCCTGGGTTCCGGTGTGACGCAGTGGAAAGAACACTCCAGAAGCCAACGAAGGATCAGCAAACAGGGGGGCCCTGTTTCTTTGTCGGCAGCACCATACTGAAAACCTGACCCCATTTCTTTGTTTGCACGTCTCCAATCTACCTGTGAAAAGCCAGCTCATGTATCACTCTTCCTAGGACAGCTCAGCTCCCGGCACTTCTAAATCAGATTTTCTTTTATGCTTTAACATGGCATCCCATTTAATAATCCACCCCATTTAATAATCATCCACTTACTGAGATTTCTCCCCACTGTTTGAACGTTTTAGAAGGAGAGATTATGTTTTATTCTTTGTGTTCCCCACAACTGCCACAGGTCTGGCAAAGCAGATGAGCGGTGATGTTCACTGGGTGAATGTCTGGTTTGGCAGTGATGGAATGGCTGTGTTTATGTTTACTTCTCAAAGATCGATAATAGGGAACCAGTATATGAAGTCTGGAAAGAATAACAAAGTCGATGCAAGATTTTTAGATGAAGTATTTATGTTACTTCAGTAAGACACCTTCATATTTAGGTTGTCATGACTGATTTAACTCCACAAGGAAAAAAATGTTACTAGAGTCTTGAATTAAACGTTAGGAAAGCATTGGCCAATCTTGAAATCTTGCTATATTTGAAAGGAAAACTAAACTTTGTGCATTAGGTAAGAAGGCCAGAATTCCATATCACCATAAAAAATAAACAGTAAACCTACTAGTTTTCTATTTAAAAATTACAAGTTCCCATTTAAAATAAAGAGAAATAAATCTTGGTTTGTTCATTTGGGAGATAGATTTTTTTTTAATTTCAGTGACTTTATTAATTATACTTACATTCTACTAAAGAGAAAATGAAAGAAATGTCTAACGGGTCATACTTAGAAATTTCTTCTATAGAATCTTCTTGGATCATCTTTAGTTAACAGGGATTTTGTTTTTAACTGGCTTTCCCCTTGTAATGCCAGTTGAATTGACTTAAAAAGAATTCTTATACAGGAGAAAAATGACAACAAATTTTTCTGAGAATTAAAAATATTTTGTGGCTCAATAGGCTAATCCTCCACCTTGCGGCGCCGGCACACCGGGTTCTAGTCCCAGTCAGGGCGCCAGATTCTGTCCCGGTTGCCCCTCTTCCAGGCCAGCTCTCTGCTGTGGCCAGGGAGTGCAGTGGAGGATGGCCCAAGTGCTTGGGCCCTGCACCCCATGGGAGACCAGGAGAAGCACCTGGCTCCTGGCTCCTGCCATCAGATCAGCGTGGTGCACCGGCCACAGCGCGCTGGCCGCGGCGGCCATTGGAGGGTGACCAACTGCAAAAGGAAGACCTTTCTCTCTGTCTCTCGCTCTCACTGTCCACTCTGCCTGTCAAAAAAATAAAAAAAAAGAAAAGAAAACACAAGCATGCTGCCCACTAAACTTGTGAACTCTAACTTCAAGGGGCCTCTTCCTGTGTCTGCCAGCCACATTATATGTCCCTAGTCCATTTCACATTTCATTTCTCTATAGGGCCATTTCTTTTTTCTTTCCCTTTAAATCTGTAACACTCGTCTCAATCTCACTTTCAGATGATGATCCTGACTTCTGCTCCACAGAGAAAACTACATCGACCAAAAGAGATCTTTCATCTCCTACTGGGATCTGTGCCCACTCTTTCTTGTTACTGTGGCTGATCTGGACATTGTCTTAACAAAGGCTAATCCCTCCTCTGCTGCCTGGGCGCCGACCCCTCTCTTCTCCTCAAAGATGCTGTTTCCCCTTTTGGCTAACTCCCATCATCAGATTTTTTCTTAACTAGGTCATTCCCATTTGTTTACAAATATGCTGTTTCACATTCCCTATGAAAGAGCGTCTCCTTCTCCCCACTTTAGTTCTAGTCACATTCTCAATACACTTTTACAGCAAAACAAACTGTCCTTATTTTTTCTCCTCCCATTCTCTTTAGAGCTTACTTCCATTCACGCTTGCCCCCAACATTCCTCAGAAACTTCTCTTGCCAGGGTTATCAACGAATCACCATGTTTCTAAACCCAAGGTCATTGTACAGTGCTTTTCTTCCTTGACTTAATGCTTGTAACACACTCACCCTCACCTCTTTGGAACCCTTCACTTGGCTGCCAGGACACTCCACTCTTGATTTACCCCGACTGCATCGGTGGTTCTTTCGCAGTCTGTTTTGCTGTTCATCATCTTGTTCCCTCCCTAAATGTTGCAATGTTTCAGGGCTTTGTCCTTGGACTTCTTCTCTTTCCTTTCTTTTTCTACCCTCAGTCATCTTTCCCCCCGCCTCATGGATTTAAATCCTCATTATACTCTAATGATCTCAGATGTATGTCTACATGCTGGTCATCTTCCCTGAACTCTAGGCCTCCATTTGTACCTGCCTTCCCTACTTCATCTGGATGTCTGCACCTCAGATCAACATATTGTAAAATTAACCCCACTGACTCTAATAAAGAAACCTGGTCTTCCAGAGTCTCTCCCAACTCTGTTCTTCCAACAGCACAGTCAGAACCTTTGCTTCCCTCCTTGACTCCTTTCTTGTTTGAACATCTCACAGTAGGTATATCAGCAAATGATTTTGCTCTACCTTCAGATTACACCAATCAGGACCCAATGTTTGCATTATCCCCACTTCCAGCACCCTGGTCCATGCTGCCTTCTCTTTCTTACCATTGCAACATCTGTTTGCTGACTCCTTGCTTTCATTACTTCCCTTCAGACTCTGTTCCAGAAAGCAGCTAGAAAAGTTCTGAAATAAGGTGACTCCCATCGTTTCAATTGACTTCCTGACTCGGATCCTCTCCTTGCTTCCCATTCCATTCAGTCAAAGCCAAACATTTCAATAAGACCTGCAAGGATCTGCCCATCTGCTCCATGACCTCTCTGATCTCATCCATGACCGTCTGCCTCTCTTCCACTCTGCTCCAGCCACTTCATCTCCTTGCTATTCTTCAAGCAACCCTAGAAGTGTTCTTGCCCCAGGACCTTTGGAAATGATTTTAATTCTTCTTGGGTTTTATTTTGTCTAAGATATCCACATTGCGATTCCTTTACCTCTGCCAGGTCTTCATATGCATGTTACATTTTCACTAAAGCCTTCAAAAATTTTAGCTCACATCTCTAAAACACAACTGCTTTGATTTTTAAAAAAATTCTTTAGAATTTAATACCTAGGATACTTTATTTTCATGTCTCATTTTTATTATCTGTCTCCTCCAATAGAAGGTAAGATCTATGCCAACAGGGTTTGTTGAAAGTTTTGTTCACTGCTGTATAATTAGTACACACTAAGTATTTGTCAATTATTTGTTGAATTGTGAATCTGAATAAATGGGAACACAAAAGTGAACAAAAAGGATACAAATCCCTGCCTTCATGGCATTCTAGCTAGAGGAGAAAGAGGAAAAACCAAGTCAATTGCATAGACTAGAAGATATGCTGAATTCTCTCAGGGAGAGGCAGAGTCAGTGGTAGGTTCTTTATTCTTGAATTTCTTAAAGATGGGGACATTTTAGACACTTTTATAAATAGGAAGGAGGCAGCAAAGCCAGAAAGTTGAAGTGATGGCATTTATAGAGGAGTGGGGCAGGCATTTGGCACAATGGTTATTATACTATGTGGGATGCCTATATTCCTTATCAGTTTCTCTGAGGTCCAGTCCCAGCTCTGCTCCCAATTCCAGCTTTCTTCTAATGTGCACCCTGGGAGGCCACAGATGATGGCTCAAGTACTTGGGTCCCGTCACTCATGTGGGAGACCCAGATTGAGATCCAGGCTCTTAGCTGCAGGCATTTGGGGAGTGAACCAGTATGGAAGATCCATCTGTCTCTTTTTTTTTTCTCTCTCTGCCTTTCAAATAAAAAAAAGGAATGGGCTAGCTGAACTCCTTTCTCTTCACACAAAATAAAGAGGAACTTAAATGTCCTATAAGGTGGAGGAGAGGCTAATCTTGGAAAGAAATAGTGACATCTCATAGAACAAGTAATAAAGTAAAGAACATAAATAAAAGAAGTATAAAGGCAAAAAACAACTGTTAAATGGTCTGTTTCCTGATGAACTGAATTTCCTTACTTGCGTTTTCATACCTAAGAGCTTCACGATGTTAGGGTTGTCAAATTCAGCCATGAGGGCCGCCTCCCTCTGAAAGTCCGCCTGCATATCTGCCGAGGCTTCTTCTTTGAGCATCTTTACTGCCACCATAGTGAAAGGTTCATAGGGAAGTAGGCCGGGGGCCCTGGGAGACAAGTGTTTTGAGAAATAAACCGGTCAGGAACATCAGGCACATCTACCTGGTATCCACCTGCATTGGAACACACTCTCCCACTCACACAGTCTCTGCCAGAGGCACAGAACCACAGGAAGTGCACCATACTTAAAACTCCTGGATTCCAGTTAATAAGCATCACGGTGAGGGGCAGGAATTGTGGTGCGGTGGGTTGAGGTGGCCCTTGGTATAAAGGCACCCCATACCGGAGTGCAGGTTTGTGTCCCAGCACCTCCACTTCTGCTCTGGCTTCCGGCTAATGCACCCTGGGAGGCAGCAGATGATGGCTCAAGTGCTTGGGCCCCTGCACCCATGTGGGAGACATGGATTGAGTTCTAGGCTCTGGCTTCTGCCTGACCCAGGTCTGGCTGTTGTGGGCATTTAGGCAGTGAACCAGTGGATAAAAGATATCTCTTCCTGTCTCTCTTTCTCTCTTCCTCTCTATTTCTTTCTCTCTCCTCCTTTCAGATAGATGAAAAATAAAATATACATTTTTAAAAAAATCATTGGATTTCTTTTCAACATAGATTAAGTTTGGGAGTGCATTGTTTATCAATTATAGGGATTTGAAGGCACACAGACCCAAAGGGGATTGCCATTGCCATCCTAATGCGTTATTCTTTGGCCAGAATCCAAATTCCTCAAAGTCACGGTTTATGACTTATTCATGTTTCTGTCTCCCTAGAGCCTCAAATGGCACCTTACATATCATTGGTTTCCGATATGTGTTAGTGTGTTAGAACTTCATTTTCATATAACTTCATACCAAGACCACGAGGAGTGAAGTTAAAGTCGTGTCTTGGCCAATAGCACTAAGTCAAAGTGCCAACTGGTATTAAAGCCAACTCCATGGTTTTTGGCCCCACTATGTGTCTGTGGCATGGAATCCATGCAGAGAAGACATTTTATTCCAATTAACACAAAGGCAGTAAATGGGCTAGTATTGGCCCTAATAAATAATCGTATCTCAAACTCAATGTATTCTTTATTTTTGTGTTTTTCTTTCTTTTAAGTGTTGTTATTCAATGAATGTCTATACATGCCAGTTCTTAAATTAAAACACCAGGTAAAAGTAAGCTTTAAATGAAGTGGGGAATAGCAACAGAATATGGAAGAGGCAAATTTGAGAGTTATTTAAAAGCAATGAAAAATTATAATTAAAATATATGAAAAAGTCTTTTCTTTATAGGAAAAATGATGGAGCTATTACTCATTTCTTATTATTTGAATACTATATAAATAAACATACATTTTGATCCACTATAAATTACTTTTAAATGTGATAAATATGTTTTCTACATATGCACTCTCAGTTTCCTGTAATAAGGGAAAATTATTAAGATTTATAGTATAGTATGGAGTACAAATAAGATTTACGTAAAGAATTAACTCATTGGATAATAACTATTACACATAGGATATACACATCAGGCCAATGGTCTGGTAACTATTTGGACAATATGCATTTCAATGGTGAGCATCATTTTTTCATGGGTAATTTTACCTTGCTTGAAAGACCCTTCCAAATGCCCCTTCTCCGATATCTCTCACATATTCAATGTTATTCCTTGGATACTCCAGGCTGAGTAATTTGGGATTCAGAAGGAGTGGCATCCTCTGGTACATGGGGTTGGGATGCAGTCTGTCTAGCAAGAGCTCGGAAGGCAGTGTGGTAAGGGTTACTGCTGCGGATTCTCTGCAGGTAAGACAGGCAAGTTCATTAATGAGCTCAGGAATAGGCAAGAAGTTTATTTTCAAACTGAGATTCCCAAAGACATTGTTTGGGAGTAAACATAACAAATTATACTATGGCAGCCAAAGATCCTTGTGCTTGAGAGCAATAAAGTATTTTGTTTGGTCTAGAGTCAAAAGGCACATTGCTCAGGAATTTTGTCAGTTTCAAACTGGCAGCCACAACGAGTCTGGGAGGGAAAATGGCTATCAGGAGTAGCCATCCCCCTCCCCTCAGCCCCCTGCCACTTACTGCTTAGATTTTTCTCTGCTGTGGAAAATTAATCTTAGGATATGTGATGCTATGCAAAAAGTCCCTGACATTTCATAGATTAAAGTGGAGTACTTAATTTTGAAGCAAGGCTGTAGATATGTAGATATGAAGAGACTGGCAATGTTCATACCCCCAATTTCAATGTCAGAAATGCAGATTTTAAACTATTGCTCTGTGTAATTAGTGTAAAATAGGAGCTCACCTTTTCTTATTCTTCCATTCTTTTCTTCTTCGGCAGCAATAGAGAGTACTTATGGTGAGAAGCACAAATATGGCGAAGCTGGACATGATGGAGATTATTACAGTCATGGAGTAAGTAGGTGAGGCAGAGAAGGAAGAAGAGGAGGAGGAAGGCAAATTTGGAATGTCCACACTTGGCTTTGAGGATGTCATTGATGGGAATGCTGTAAGTAAACAATTATTCTTTTTATTCATTCTCAAACCTTTAAGAAGCTGTGGTTTTATATTCAAGAACCAGTAATTTAATGTTAAGAAATTATTTAGGTATTTGGGTCTCCCTGGTTATATATCTATGAAGTCTAATTGTAAGAATCCAATGAGTTCCAGTACAAGTAAAGCCAATTGATGGAATCATAAAGATTTAAAGATAAGAAAGAGATAGGCAATATTTTTTGCAAGGCAAAATCAGATCCTGGGTTAGTGTTCTTTATACTGCATCATATTGGTTATGACTTGATATCAATCATGGAAATTATTAAATAAAATATTTTCATGTAGTTATATTGAGGATTGTCTAAGGCTAAGCATTGTTTCTTGAAAGCAAGTCTGGATACATTAATATCAGATAGTGTGGAATTCATAACAAAGAACATAAAATAAGGAAAGAAGGGTATATTATTATATAAGGGATATAATTCAACAAAGGTAATACATTAATATCTATATTTCAAATAATATGTTCACACATTTTTAAATTCTGTCTCTATATTAACTTCTACATGTGAGAGAAAACAAGGTTTTTGTCTTTTTGTGTCTGGCTTATTTCACTTTGTATAGTAATCTTTGATTATACCCACTTTATGGCAAATGTCAAGATTTCATCCCTTTTTATGGTTGAATAATAATATTGGTGTATACAGACCACATTTTCGTATCTGTTCAATCACTGATGGACATCTAGGTTGATTCCACATCATTGCTATTCTGAATAGTGCTGTAATAAACCAGTAAGTGTGGGAGTACAGGTATCTTTCATATGCAAATTAGTACAGCCATTATGAAAAATAGTATCAAAAAATAGTATCCAAATACTGCAAGAATATCCACCATATGACCCAGCTATCTCGCTTCTGGGAAGATATCCAAAGGAAATGAACTCAGCATCTGATGGAGCTGAGCTTTCACACATGTTTGCTGGCAGCTATCAAACAGAATACAAATAATGGAAGACGAAAAATGAAATCCTAGGACACAAGTGAGCAGAATTTAATTCATTTAAAAGTTGGACTCCTATCAAACTGTAATTTAAAAGGTCAGCACAATAGAAAGACAAGTAAACTCTGCAATCCTGCTGGGAACCAGGAGACTCCATACTCGTTTCAGCCCGTACAGGGTGCAAAGTCCTCTGGAGAGGCATTCATACAATCGGATTAAAATTCTACTTCAAATCCTCTTAATAGACTGAAGAAAGACAAAAATGTGAATACTAATTATTTTAATAATATAATAAACAGAATGTTTAATAGCTAAGAATGAACTTGTACCCTAAAAGCAGTGCATAAATATCTGGATTTTTTTTCAAATATTTGTGGAATTCTGACAGACATGGTATTATGTGAGGCCATACAGATAAATCTTTTCTCTTTTAAATCTGTTATTTCAAAAGCAGAAATTATGCAAATGTATGCTTTGATCAAAATGTAATTAATAATAGGTTAAAAATTCAATACAATATTTTGCACAAAAAAATCAGTAACATTTTAATTAAAAAAAAAAAAAGAGTAGCTGTAGCTAGAGATTAGAAAAAAAGTCTCCTAATAGTGTACATAAGATTTGCTAAAACCATGTTCAATGGTAAAGTGATGGCATTATCTCTTTCCTTTAGGTTAAAAAAGAAAGAAAGAAATGAACAGGTCATTTAACTCAAGATATTGAATAACAAGCAATAACTACTGAAAAATAAAAGAAAATAGGTGATAAAGTCACAACCATATTCAAGCAGAAATTAACATATTAGAATACATATACCACAAATGATAGAATTTAAAATAGACAAGTGGTTGTACAAAGTGTTCTAATAAGTATAATTTTCATTTTAAAAATGAGAAAAGGCACAAACATAGAAAATTAAAAATGACCAGGAAGTTATAACACATTCAAAGGTTAGAAAAAAAAAACATGTAATATGAAACACAGTTACATTTTTAAATCTTTAGGAAGATGATACAACATACTAATTACCAAACTTGAGTAATCAGAAAATATGAATAGAACCATTAGCAGGAAATTAGTTTTAAAAGTCTTTATAGAATTATGAATACATTCTTTCAGTCTTGAAGCAGATAAAATTTTCCTATTTCATAATATGTTCCAGGAAGAGAAAAATCTCATGATGTTAGCACAAAAGAAAAGTGCATACATAGATTATACAGCATGAATTTAAAAAATCCTAAACGAAATACAAGAGGGCTTCAAAAAGCTCATGGGAAATGGAATTAAAAGAAGTTTGCATTGGTGCAAAAGTTTTGCAACCCATGTGTTATTTTCTCATAATATGCATTTTTGACAAACTGAAGACTTCTCTAGGTGTCAATTTTGGTTTTTGATACTTAAATAAATGTTTCTTGCAATTGCATGTTCCATAAGCTGCTGGATATGCCCTTGTATTAGTCATTGACTGCAAAATAGTAAGAGAATAATAATGTAATCTAAAGGAATATATTAACGTAACATATTACAAGGTCAATTATTGCAGCAGAAGCCTAAAGACATTCGAACTGGAACACTCGTGAAAGCAGACGTTACAGGGATGCTCATGTAAGACTCGTTAGTCCAGGAGTGGACACAGTGATTACGCCTGCACCATCAAGGGCTAAGGAAGCGGTTATGAAGCCTGCTCTGGCCAACCTGGCTCCTGCTATAACTCCAGCAGGCATCTGGAACTGAGAGAACATCAGAGCAGCAGTCAACATTTGTGCTGGACCAAGGGTACCGCACACCTCATCAGGCGCCACTGCCGTGGGGGATGAAATCACTTCCCAGGGTCTGGGTGCCTTTATGACTGGCTTGTAAGCTGCTCTGATTGTCCTTAGGTTTTCTGACCCAAGATGGATGAGGAAGGGAGGTTAAATTGGAGAGCTATGCTTCATGCTCATAATCAAGTAGAAGCAATCATGAAAAGAAATGTTTATTTTCTGTATCTGGATTTCACCAAGCAGTTCATTCCTTATATAGCACGTGAGGGGCTATGATGTAATTTGTAAGCTTGGTCATTCAATCTCACTAGTAAATGTAAGAGTAATTTTTCTGAAAACATCATAAAATAGAATGTAGAGGAATGTTAAAAGAAATATCCTTAATGACTTAGTAAGATTTATTTGAAAAAATGCAAAAGGTTACATATTTTGAACAAAAATTTTACCCTGTGGATTTGAATACTTCTTCCCTTCAGAATTATCTTGTTTTTCCTCAATTATTGCTTTGGATCTATTTGCTCTGGTCTTCCCTAGAGCTGTGTCCATGATCTTGTTGGATCCAAATGACCAGTTTGGGTCTCCATTGTCTTTGGTTTTCATCTTTTTTCCATTCCTCTCAATTTTATCTCCTTATCCTCTTCCTCTGAACACAAGGAGACTTTATTCACTCACGCATCCATATATTAATGCATTCATTAGATTAGTATTGATTGTTAGGTATCAGAAATACTGTAGTGTACTTGATAAGTCTTTGCTTGTCATGGGAAACACATTAGTTAACTTATAATTACAATAAAATGTAAGAAGTGTTATAAGAGTAGCAAGAATGAGTGCTCTTGAGCCTCCAGGGGTAGCGCAAACTCAATATAGGCAGAGAATAAGTAATGGTAAGTTGTATGTAAACAGTGAGTAGCCATAACCAGTTGAAGGTTACTATGGTCTGTGTGTTTGTGTTGTCCCAAAGTTCATTTTAATTAATATGAAATTAATGATGGCACAGCCCTGTGAATGGGAACACCGGCCTTATAAAAGATATCTGCGAGAGCTCTGTTCCCCTCTGCCATGTGAGGTTACAGTGAGAAGGCAGCCATGTCCACGAGAACCGTTATGTCTACAGCAATGCCTGCTACAACTCCCGCACTTTGGTCTGTGACTGACTTGCCTCCGGAGTTGTGAGAAATAAGTTTTTGTTGCTTATAACACCCAGTGGATGATATTTTGTTTTATAAGCCTGAACAGACTATGACAAAGGTATATGTATATGTGTGTGTGAGTTGGGGGTTGAGGGAATGGAGTGGAGTCAGGATGGGAAAAGAGTGTTCTACAGAAAAGCGATAGCATGTATGAAGGTCTGAACCAAGCAATTGTGATGCTTCCCTAAAAGTGCACTGGAAGTTTTGTTGATTGAGTTGCCATGTATCTACAGGTAAGTTTGCAGATGCCACATTTAACTCATGAAAGGACTTGCATGCCAATTTAAATAATTTGGACTTTACCCTGCAGCAAATGCATCAAGAGCTTTTTGCATGAAAAAAAAAAAAAATCTCTTGGCTGCAACCCTGACTTCATTGTATAAATATTCCCATCATGTCTGCTTTCAGGCTGTTAAAATAAAGTCCTGACTATGGAGTTGGAAAGAGTTGTTCAGAATGACAATATTTGGAGGATTCCCACCATACAGACACCAGAGATAGAGAGAAGATCTAAAAGTTTCTTTCTAGATGGGAACAAATTACTTACAAGAAAAATAACCAGACTCATATTAAACTACTCATTTCCAAAACCAGATGCTTCAAAGGAGCGAAATCACATTTGTAGACAAGAGAAATGCCACTCAGGAAATCTATATCCAGTTAATATATTTTTCAGCTATTCAGGTGAAAGGAAAATTATTAATGATATACAGGCCTTATGACTCCATCACTCAGTATCTCCTCTAAGGAAATATATTAAGGGACTCTTAATTCAATCAGAAAGAGACTTTAAAATGAGTATGAGGATTCATGGAAAATGGCATGAAAAGATAAGTTTATTTGGTTCAAAAAGCTTCTGAAATCCATGCATAGTTTTTTCCTAATATACATTTTCAAGAGCTTTTGGAAGAGCCCTCATACGTGTTAAATCTAAAGGGATAATAATGGAATGACTGTGAGTTTTGTCTAATTCTCTAAGAATCAAAAGAAAATCATTCTACATGGAGACACCTCATAACATTGGCGAGGTAAACAAGATAAAAGCCTTCACTGGAGGGTCTAAGATCCCCCATGGACTGGGGAAACAAGAGGAATAAACAGAGCACTGTAATCTGTTGAAAGAGTAAGTATCTGGCTTTAAGTTAACAGTTGAAAAGTAATTATCACAAAAAGTAAGGAAATGGAAAAAGAAGAAACAAAAAAGTAAAATGAAGAGAAAATGTAAAATCAGTTGTTATACAAAATATTAACAGGGCTAAATCCTCCTATTAAATGAAAATGTGTGAGTACAGTAAAACCAGGTATATGTTGTTTATAGGAAAATGAAAATAATACAGACAAAGAGAATCCAAGTAAATGGAAATACAAAGAAAGAAGAATTACCAATATTAATCCACCAAATTTAAGGTTAAAAGCATGACAATAGGAAGAATGACATTTTATGTTGGTTAACTCAAGAGGATAAAGTGATATGAATCATTACAGCTAATAGAATATACCTGAAGCCAATTACTGAATGCAAAATTGTTAAACAGAGAAGAATTTGATAAAAATAATTATGAATTGGGTTCATCTAGTAGAAAATTATGTTAGGAAACAAAATCAAGTCAATCATGTGTGGATAGAAGAACTATTAAGGTCATGTGAGCATTAGCTAGCAAGTAAATCAAGCCTTTATCAGAGAAAACAATGACTGCATGGGAATTCCAACCAGATTATAGAATTGTGTTCAATTCTAGACATTCCTGAAGCTTATTTACAACCAGTGAAGGGTAAACATAAAGATAAAGGTTATGGAAGTCAGGATCAAAAAAAGCTGAAAATCAGAGCTTTATCATGTGAAGAGGAGAAACTTATAGGGAGTTAGGGTACTTGTCTCCAAGTATTTTAAGGGCTGTCTGATCGATTGAAGGAGTTGAAGATCAGTTGTTGAAAGTTATAAGACAAAAACTTAGTTCTCTCTAGCTCAAATGTTTAATAACTGGGGAATCTACAGTGGGATGAAGGAATGAATTCAAGTAGGAAAGGGATATGTCTGTCAAAAATGTTGTAGAAAAGATTCTTTCATTGTGGGAGAGTTTAAACAATTGTTAAAGTTGTTTCCAACTCAACATTTACACACACACACATACACACACACTGTTTACAATTCCATCTGTGGAAAAAAATGGTAGCTAATCCTGGAAAAATGAGTTTGGGACATAAAGCATATATTCTTCTAAATTTTGGCCTAATTAAAATCATTATGTAGCTTAGCTGATTTAAAATTTTAACAACATTTTTGTCAACTAGACTTTCTTAAGAATAATCAATAATAAGAGACTGTGAAAAGGTATAAGTAGATATTCAAGAAAGGATCAGTTAAACAATTAGGGGAGCTTTCCAGCTTTTGAGGTTGGGGACATAAAAGAAATCGTGATAGAGCCACATCAGGTGAAACAGGTAAGAAACCAGACTGTGAAGATACAGCCAGAATCAGACAGGTTTGGATTTAAATTCTGGCTCAACCCCTTTTTAGCCAGGTAACTTTGGGCAAGGTACTATTCTCCCCTTCTCAAGCTGACCTGGATGTAACAGGATAGTCTGAGTTCCTGACTTCATGGAGCAGTGGGGAGAACTGAGAGAGAGAAGATAAATAACTCAATAATCAGTTGGCCTGGACTTTGGTATATAGTCACTCACTTTCCATACATAGGGAAAGAAAAAGTGAAAGGAGAAAAAAATCATTGAAAAGCGCAGCATCATTCCAACAATTAAACCAGATTATACATATTCCCCACAGACACTTTGAAAGAGGAGAAGACAGACTCACTGCTGTTTCTCTATTAAAATAATTGAAGTCTTACGTAAGAAAGGAATAGGGCAATGCCTGCTTGGCAGATGATTAATGTAAATACTAAACATAAATATAGTGTACGGAAGGCATCCTGTGTGCAAAAAGATATTTTACTTCCACAAAAGAAGTTACAAAAACCAAAAAGTACTGAAATTCTAGTCTCTGTGTTCAAGTAAGAAGGAAATAATACAAAGATAAAATGATCTTTAAAAAGTCTTTCATCACTCCTAAAGTGAACTAGTGATTTCCTTTGGCATTCACTCAGAAATCAAGAGACATAAAGAAATATGTGAGGACGTAGGCCCTCCCATTGAATTCAGGATGCTGTGCCTGATAAGAACACCTTCTTTGCTCAACTAAAGAGCTAGCGGCAATTTCTTTAAAAAATACTGCCCTTTAATGCAGTGAACACATGTTCAACCATTATCTACCACATGTTCAGGTAAAACCACCAGCTTATGACAACTGCTATTCATTTTCTTACATGTATCAAAGACTTCATAAAACTGTTTTTTAAAGACTAGGAAATTCACTATTATGGCTAGTTTGTCCGCCACTTTTTTTAAAAAATATATATTTATTTGTTTACTTGAAAGTCGGAGGTACATAGGAAGAAGAGAGAGACAGAGAGAAAGGTCTTCCTTTGCCGTTGGTTCACCCTCCAATGGCCGCCGCGGCCAGCGCGCTGTGGCTGGCGCACCGCGCTGATCTGATAGCAGGAGCCAAGTACTTCTCCTGGTCTCCCATGGGGTACAGGGCCCAAGCACTTGGGCCATCCTCCACTGCACTCCCGGGCCATCCTCCACTGCACTCCCGGGCCACAACAGCTGGCCTGGAAGAGGGGCAACCGGGACAGAATCCGGCGCCCCGACCGGAACTAGAACCCAGTGTGCTGGCGCCACAAGGTGGAGGATTAGCCTAGTGAGCCGCGGCACTGGCTAGTTTGTCCCTTTCAAAATTTGTTTATCATCAGTCCTGGCCCAGCCCTGGCTGTTGCAGGAATTCAGGAAGTGAATCTGTTGTTGGAAAATCCTCCTTCCTGTCTCTCGCTGTTGCTCTGCCTTTCAAATAAAAATAAATAAAATGGAAACAAAATTTGTTTATCATCAGTATAAAAGGTAGAAATGAGGATGCTTTCTAGTGTGCTTTGTTCCTGTCTAATTTAGGTTTTAAGAGCAGTACCTTCGACACAGTAAATTCTCAATGCTTGAATGAATTAGTGGGCAAACAATTGAAGGCTAACAAAGATCAGTTATCAATTAAAAGTACAAACTAAATTTTGGAACCTCAAATGACAGAGAATTGACAAATTTCTTTTTCATTCCTTCAGTTTGGTGATAATTATTTGACAGACTCCCAGAATAATAGAGTTTTACCTGTAACCAGGCGTGTTAAATACCTCTGAGTGAGTCACTTGGAACCAGTAGCATTCTTAATTTTAATACTTTAAATCTTTGTCCTTTAAGTGAGCTGGTAAAATTAAGTCCTGGCACTTAGCCAAGTACAGAAGGGATTAGGCCTGGAATATATATCACAGGAAGTCAGTGCGATTTAAGCCTTAGAACACCATACCCGGAGGAAGTTAACGGACATGAAAAACTTTCCTAATATCATCCTGAGGATTTCCGCACTCTGCTGGGTTAAGGCACCTCCTGCTACACGTTGGCTTCTAGGGAGCCTTCTGCAACACCCTTCTTGAATTCTGGGATGACCTTTTTAAAAGCATTTGATAATGATCCTATAAATGTTAGCCTGGAAGTTAGCAGTCTTAAACAAAACACCTCTTTTCCAAAGAAGGAACTATTGTCACAAATGAAGACCATGGTCAGCTCAATGAAGAAATATGGTATCTGCTTTCATCTATAAACAGACAATACAAGACCATGAATAGAATATTAAAAGGTGATACTATAAATTTGACTTATTTTGTAGACATGTATGGGATAAGACAGGCTAACAAAATTGAGGTGGGAGATATTATTTGTGCAATTCATTAGTGTTCTCGATGGCCTAATAAAGCAGTAAGTGAGGCTTTCAAAGATCTTCCTTCATATTCTATCCTGGGTGAGTAGGGTGCAAAGTCCTAGAGAGGGGCCATTCATTTTCTTTGGGACATCATGAAGTACGAGTGGAAATACGCATGCAGGAATCTAATTACATACACATAAGGTTCCAAGGGCATAAACAAAATTACTTACTTGTTAGGTTTTCTTTTTTATAATCTGAAGGGGAAAGGATAAAAATGTGTTTAAAGTGAGCATCCAGATATCTCATGTATTCTGTGAGAGAGTGTTAAGAAATGCAAGTTCTGGTTTAACTTTTTAATATGCAACTAGAAAACATTCTTTGCATTCAAATGTGAAAGAGCTGCAGCTTTGAAATTAAACCAGCTGTTAGGGATAACAATACAGCTGTTTACAAACTACGTTCATTAGAGCAACACGCAGCAATTCAGTTTTGTGAGCTCAGCATTTTCAAACATATGGCTTATTTTTGCATGCTTCAAAATCTGCTTCAAGGGCTAAGAAAGAGGACTTTATTCCTTGATTACCACTCTTCCGACAGCATATGAGATGTTTCTTAGCCATTCTGCTGCACATTCCAGAAAACACTCCAAGCCCTCATACAATCCCCTATGAAATAAAGTAAGATCTCAAGCAGCAGTTAAAAGTGCTATTTTCGATCAAATGGAATACATCTTTATACTAACCTGTGCAATTAGGATAGCATTAGAATTCTGGGATTAGGTATCCAAGATAGAACTCAAAAGAAATATTAGCAATGCCTCGAAAATTAGGAGCTTGAAGTTCACACTCTAGTTTCTTCAAAATAATAAATTTCTCTTAACCCCCAAAGTCTCGCGAGAACTCTATTACCTAAATACGGAAGTCGAGTACAGGCCCTGGCGTCCCAGTGCATGCTGGGAAGCTTGCCGCATTCTGGCTCCGAGAGCAGCTGCATCCCAGATCTGAAGAGTCCTCTGAGGGTCTTTTCCTCCATCGCCAGCCATTCTCTTGCACAGAAGAGCTCCTTTACTGCCACACAGTACTCTCTAAATATTGTATGGAGAACAAAATTAGATGACTTACGGCACGTGAAAGCCATATTTGCAGCGGAGCTTCGATTCAGTTTCCAAAATATCATCACAGTACATTGTTCTTGCAAAAGCATTTTTGTCAAGTTCCCCTTATTGTAAATTATGTGAGATTTTATGAAATATAGGCTATTAGTCTGCGAGATGAATAGCTCTTTTTTTAAATACATAATTATTCTATTGTGGAAAAGGATTCTCATAGTTTAAAGATAGATTAGGAATGGCTGCCATGTCTTCTGGCAATTTCATGCCGAAATAACTACAAAGGTGCCTAACAATTGCAGAGGAGTTAAAAACACACATGGTTGAAGTCACTCGTCGTCGTCAAGCAGAATCTAGCCTGGGGGATTTTTCTAGAATCTTGGAACTCATGGGCAAGGCTTGAGGAATGGAATCTGTCCCTCTGAAAGCTTTGTCTCTCAAAACAGATGTGCACCAGCTCCCTGGCAGAGGACAGGGGGGCACCTGGGTCCTCACCCAGCCCTTACTCTGGAGAAGGGGAAGCCTGTCCCACAGCCACCTGTGCACCTGCCTGGGAATTCCAGGGTAGTCTCTCTGTGCAGAGGAACCTGTTGTGTCATCAACATGTAATGTTACAAATGAAGGAGCCAAAGAAACACTAATTATACTAGTTGGAATATTATGAATCACTATTTGTTTGAGTTTGATAGAAAATAGGTCAAATGGCCTATTTTGAAATCTCAATGATTCCAAATAAAGCTACACTATAGTGGGATTCTTAATACAAAGAAATGAAAGATAATAACAGAAGTTAAAAGTAATAATAGCTGGTGTCCTTCATTCAATAGCTGAAGTGTTCAGAGAGGAAATTGCATGTGTACAGACATGTGTGTGGAGAAACATACAGCTGCACATCCATGCTACAGTGGTGTCTGGATACTTACACCCACACTCCTGCTTCTCCAGTGGACCAGCGTGGGTCAAGTGAGCCTACACAGCATGGAAGAGCTGTGCATATGAATGTCTTGGGGTGCAAGAAGGGTCATGAGTGCAACAATGGGATTTAGAATTTGGGGATAGCAGCAAGAGAAGGGGGCAGAGGGCAGCTTTTGAGAAGCTGAAGAATGTGAGGCCTGCTGCTTAGCTGCTGCTGCTTATGCTAGTCCCACCCCTGCTTGCCCGTGCACGCCATTTTATATTCAGACAGCACAGTTAAACTGTGGGACACAAGGAAAAAATATTCTGTATTCCATGTGCAGGAAGCAAATGCTCAGAAAAATTATTAGTTTTATTCTAAATGGAAGAGCACATTAGAGAGTGCTTCAGGGTTTGCTTTATTCTCATTGTCAGGCATTAAAGTGTAGGCTCTATAACCGAGTTTCTGACAAGGAAAAAAAATTCAGGGTGAAATGAAAAGTAGGTTAGTGTGAACATGGCGGTAACTGGAGACAAGTAGGTTAATGTGAAGATGATAGTTAACTGGAGAAAATAAAGACCACAAAGCAAAGCCAAGAGTAGAAAATTTAATCTTCAGCCAAAATTGGGAAGAAGTGGCACTCTAAGGAATAAGCAAATATTCAGTTTCTACCAACTGATTTTAGTGAATGCAGACAGGACGGGCCAGCAAATGAAAATGAGATCATGGTGTGAGCCGAGGGGGAGGGGCAGGGAAGAAATCCAAAGTACAAAAAATACTGCTTCCCAGCAAGAAAAGCTGAGCACAAACAAAACAGGAAATAATTAAAGGTGAACAGTAAGAAGATATTTTTGAGATGAAAAGAACAATGTTTAAAGCCTACTGTCCATTATTTTTTATTTTGTTTAATATCACATGAAAGAAAATAATGGAAAGAGATAATCTCCAAATAAGTTTTACAGATACTTCCAGTCTCAACAAAGAAGGAAATGATATTCCTATCATTCGCAAGAGAAAAAAAAACACTCTTTATAGAGAAGTAGAAGTCAGGACTGCTTTGTGATTCCTCTTATAATACAGTAAACAATTTTTTTTATTAAGTGCATAGCACTTGAGGAGAATTGAGTGTAGCATAAGACTTAAATATTTAGTTAAAACTAAATATGTAAGATGCTGGAAGGCTTATTTTGCATGTAATGTAAAACACACTGATTCCAGACGAATGAGAACAAAGGATGGATGATCAAGAGAGAAATCAAACTTGTTTTCAAGAAAAAGACTTTTTTTTACTAAACTGAGGACAGTGAGAATCAAGGATCAGTAACAGGGTTTATCCAAGTATTTGTTTATACATGATTATGGTAGCAAATGTAAAATACTATAATATACATTATAATATCAAATGTAAACTACTAATAATGTTCCTAAATCAGAGCACCTGCAAATAAATAGAATTGAATAATAATAATCTAGTTTATGTTTCCAAATAAAGTTTCAAAGAGCAGGTGTGGAAGATTCAACACAGTTACCCTAATGTAATTAGGCCTATCCTGAATACCCCATTTTTTAAATTGTAAGCTTCCCCCTTCTTGGCACTCCTGGCCTCCCCTACCCCACAGCTCATTTTTTCTTTTCCCATGACATGTCACACCTTCTAAGGGTACATATACATTATTTGTTATGTAATTTAATCTATCCCAAATGCCTAGAATAGTGCTTGTGGCCTAGTAGATCAATAAATATTTGTTAAATAAGCAAAATTCCTTGTCATTCAGGAAAAGGGGCACACATTATCAAATGACTGTTAATACTTAGAAGACCACAGGCAACAGTATGCTTTTTAGAATCTTGTGAGGAGAAGTAGAATGTAGAACAGTTGGGGACCTCTGAACCACACTGAAGGATAAACACAAGCAGAAACTTGTTTTTTTTGTTGTTTTGTTTTTTTTTAATTCACAGGCTTTTATTGGGGCTCCACTCCCAGGTGAGGTTCCCTGGTCCCAACAGAGTGGGGGCCAGGGAAGTCACACGTCAGAGATTGGGAGAGCTCCTTTTATAGATTCAGGGCATGGGGGTTAAAGGTCGAAGTGGGTCTGATCCTCATTGGTTGACCTTTAGGCACCCGCAGGGACCTTGACAAGGACTTTCTTCCCCGGAAGTAGGCCTCTCCATTCCCGGAAGTGTAGGCCTTCCCTCCTTGTGGATCCCAAAGCTACCATCCCGACCTTTTGATGATAGGAAAGGGGCGACGATGAGTCTCTCTGGCTACTTCCTGCTGACTGGGGACATCGTCTACAGGGGCCTGCTGGGGGTATCTTGGGGCTCCGCAGGGACAGGCATGTATGGATGGAGGAGCATCTGGTTGACTGCCTGGTTGCTGAAGGCCTTGGTTCATTCCATTATCACCTGCTGTAAACACTTAAACAGACACTGTAGTATACAAGTCAGGGTGAAAATAGCAACCAATGATCCTAAGAGTGGCATTAACCAGGTAGCAAAAGGATTTCATAGAGGACAGGAAATGAGGGGGGGGTCTCTGGACCTTTGTGAGGATTGTTTGATGGATGTGGTTTAAATCTGATCCCAGCCAAGACCAAGAGAAAGGCCACTCAACTTTTGTAGGGAGAGGGGTTTGTCTGTAGAGAAATTCTGAATAATCATGCAAATTAAGTGGAGGAGAGGACCATCAGTACACACAGGTTGGTAGCAGAGCCACTAATGTTAGAGTAGAGGCTATGATTACAAAAGAATGAGACCCAAGTGGGCTAGACAGGGAATAGAACAAAGGACAGAATCATTATTAGAGGACCCAAGAAAGATACTATCTAAGCCACAACTAAGTTTTCTGATTGAGAGGCAAATAGAACCTGACAGAAGGGGGCTTGATAATAATCTGGTGGGCTTTAGGCCTTATAAGTTAAGAGGCCCAGACCTGTCTGTCTCTTCACATAGGGTACATCCTAAGGGAGGTGTGAACCTCCTTGGGAAGGCACCCTGTTGGGTGGTCTAGGAGGTCTGGGAGGAGAATTGGCCAGGTGAAGGCAGGTGACATCTCTAACAGGCAAGGAAAGTCACAGTTCTGTAATGTTGCTGACCCTACTTGGCCGTCCCCTCAGCTGCGGTGGTCACTTTGGAAGCTGGCCGGAGGCATCACAATACCAGATTTCAGGACATACTACAGGGCAGTTATAATCAAAACAGCATGGTACTGGTACAGAAACAGATGGATAGACCAATGGAACAGAATTGAAACACCAGAAATCAATCCAAACATCTACAGCCAACTCATATTTGATCAAGGATCCAAAACCAATCCCTGGAGTAAAGACAGTCTATTCAATAAATGGTGCTGGGAAAACTGGATTTCCACGTGCAGAATCATGAAGCAAGACCCCTACCTTTCACCTTACACAAAAATTCACTCAACATGGATTAAAGACTTAAATCTATGACCTGACACCATCAAATTATTAGAGAACATTGGAGAAACCCTGCAAGATATAGGTACCGGCAATGACTTCTTGGAAAACACCCCAGAAGCACAGGCAATCAAAGCCCAAATTAACATTTGGGATTGCATCAAATTGAGAAGTTTCTGTACTGCAAAAGAAACAGTCAGGAAAGTGAAGAGACAACCAACAGAATGGGAAAATATATTTGCAAACTATGCAACTGATAAAGGATTGATAACCAGAATCTACAAAGAAATCAAGAAACTCCACAAGATCAAAACAAACAACCCACTTAAGAGATGGGTTAACAGACACATGAAAAAATGTTCAAGATCACTAGCAATCAGGGAAATGCAAATCAAAACCACAATGAGGTTTCACCTCACCCCAGTTAGAATGGCTCACATTCAGAAATCTACCAACAATAGATGCTGGAGAGGATGTGGGGAAAAAGGGACACTAACCCACTGTTGGTGGGAAAGCAAACTGGTTAAGCCACTATGGAAGTCAGTCTGGAGATTCCTCAGAAACCTGAATATAACCCTACCGTTCAACCCAGCCATCCCACTCCTTGGAATTTACCCAAAGGAAATTAAATTGGCAAACAAAAAAGCAGTCTGCACCTTAAT